TTCACCCACAAAAACTGTAACAATTTTGATTTTGGAACACAAATCCTTCCATTAAATCCAAATCACTAAAAAACCCCGGTAATATTTGGTGTGTTTGATTTGTAAGATTTGGAATGGAATTAAATTCCAAATTCCTTTAAATCCAATTCAAATCTAATCTGATCCTGCAAACCAAACGGACCTAAGAGAATTGTGATATCAAGAGAAGACATCTTTCATTGAATTACATGCATATTGAGAAGACCTCCTTTAACCACAAGGGTGTGCCTGATTGGTTTAAGCTTGGCTCCAAAGGTAAAAAGTATCAGGAGGTCCAATGTTCAAATCCAAGGAGGAATAAAAATCCTATTGTGGCCATGGAGGTTCAAATGTGGTAACTCCGGGCTATCTACAAAGCAGGTGGTCGCCATGGGATTAGTCGGCTCGCATAGCGGGTTGGATATCTAGGTTAATAAAAAAAAATGCGATTGTGGTTGCATTACTTGATGTTTAGGATATTCTTGAACAAGTATGATAAAAGAAAGGCAAGTCTTTGACTTGAATCATCAATCTGCTTAGCATAAGATCCCTCCAAGAACTCGTCATTAATAACACAAACCCATGTCCTTAATCCGAGTTTAACCAATAACCTAACGAACGTGTACGCCTTTAGAGGCGTGGCCGTCACCACTTGGCATCTTGATGATCGATGTCTAGAGTGAAAAATGTGAATACAGAGTTTTTTGTCGAGCTTAAATCTTCTATCTTGCTTGTATGGTTCTTCCTATACTCACTCGTGCTTTAGTTGCTAGTCGATAGCCATTGAAGTCATCTGGTACTATATGATATGTTCGTTATTAGGTGCAATGGTGGCCAATAAACTGATTTCAGACACGATGCTCCAAATGAAACGAGAAAATCAGAAAGACGAAATGAAAGCGATAAAAGCAAAGATGGTTAGATTGGAGGAACGTTTGAAGAAATCAACATCACAAAGCCAAAACTTGAACTTAAGCTCTCACAATGCAGGTGGAGGTGGAACTGGAGACATGATTAACATGTTCAAGAAGATGTTTCGTGATTTGATGGTCCCTAAGCTTTCTCGTATGGAGAAGTCGAACAACGATTGAAATATTACCAAAAGGGTTGTTGGCCCGATAGAGCCGGCCTCCCAAAAGGTGTAAGGGTTCAATCTTCCCTAAACGTGATAGTATTTGTAATATATAAATATGATAAACTCAAAGTATTGTGAGTGGTATGGTTTGGTTTTAAGAAATTATTAGGCATGTCTATTGTGTTTGTGATGTTTTTCTAGTAAATTATCGTTTTTCAACAAATAGTTTAGGGACTAAACCATTTAAAACGAGAAAGTTTGTTGTGTTTTTTGGACTTTTCCCCTTTTGACTTAGGGGTTGTTTGTTTGCCTCTTAACAGTTTCATTAAGCGGCAACATCTAAATCGTTAAGAGGTGAATCTTGTATGGCAAAAAAAAAGTTTGCCTTTTAATGGTTTTAAAACTCTTTGAACGATTTTGTATCTTGGGCCTCCCTTAACCATTCAGCACCGTAATTTTATTATAAACAACTACCAAACAATTATATTTTATTTTGTATTATATCATGAGAGCCTCTTAATCATTCTGTACTAAATCATTCAACAACTGTCAAACAGCCCCTTAATCAAACTATATATATTTTGATAAAAGAATCAATACATAGAAAATTTTATATTATTTTTTATAATAATTTATGATAAAATAATTAAATGTTTGTATACGGTTCATTATTTCATATTTTTGGTCATTATTATTTTAGTTTCTTATTAATTCGATTT